ACTTCAATCTCTAGATGTCCAGATTATCAAGATACCCGATCATTTCCCCACCGAGATCATCGTTGTTCGACGCAAGGATCAAGCGAATCTTCCTTGCGTGATCAATCCACATGATGGGCCTCACGCAACCACAACAACGGGCTTTGTACCTTCTACTTCCGCTCTAGCAATCGGATGTTGTAAGTATCCCTGTTCCCCGCGGCTTACATACAATAAAAGCTAAGCATCCTCGTCAGACGCGATCTCTCAGCCGAACTACACAGGTTCTCTGGGCTTTGGCGAGAAATACGTCAGAGCTCTTACAGTGGGCCAATGCGGCACAGTAGACGTATCAGACTGTATCACTAAGACGAATCTAAGACGAATGGGAACGAGACTACGCAACTGCATGCTTGGAAGACATATCCGACGTCAAGCGACGTCATTATCGACGGTGTAACAGTATTGCAGGAACCGTCGGGTCGATAAGGTTCTTGACTGTGTGACTGGATCTTCCGTCATGCTGGGCCATCTACTCTTTTGCAGTGCAGTGCACTCTAAGCTACCTGCCGTTCATTCGTCCCGTCCCCTTTTTGCTCGATATCCTCATTTCAAGAGGCCTTCGTGAAAAGGGACGCTGCTCGGTCGGTCGTACAATTCTGGATAAGTAATTGATAAGGTGTGGGCGAGCTTGGCGAAGGATAGTGCCCGCTATTTTGGGAACACCTAGGATATTGGTTAGGATGCATGCTTGCGCTGGGTTCGATTCCCAGTCAGAGCACTTTCGAAACAAAAAGGAATCTTTTTACTAAATCTGGTTGCGAGGCGAACATAGTGCACACTGCACACCGTGCTTGGACCCACTGACTTGAGGGAAAGCAGCTATATTGCCAACAAACAAGTTCAAATGTCGACGAAACTTGCCTCTGCCTTCTGATCCACCAGTCCTTCCGTGCTTGAATCAACGCCAGGTGCTCTTGAATTGGTCGACAGTCTCTCTTCGAAGAGTCGGCGCATTGTCTGGGGTCCGAGTCGAGTTGGTGTGACTGGCCGTCATGCGGACCAGGTTTCCTGTGTATTGAAACCGGCTCCTCAGGACAGCGCTGTCACTGGTGTGGTGTTATTGTTTAAGTGATGGAGGAACAGAGGACGCCAAGGTAGAGGAATCTGAACCTGTCGGCGAAAACTACTCAGGATCATCATAAGCTGAAAAGGCGAGATGAACAGATGCGTACTCCAATCGTTTCCTGCCTCCCATGCTTATTCTTAGACCATAAAGCAGACAACTGGAATAAGCTCTCTGGTTGTGTATGGGTTAGGCCATATTGGGCGCGAAAATTGGGTTCGACTCCCATAAGAGAGTATTGAGTACTTTGGGCTTTTTTTCTCGCTTGGCGTTTCTCGCCTGCTTACTTTGGTGACAGATCCCAGACTTGTACCCGTCCGGGTTCTTAAATCAGGAATGTGGTGCCCCGCAAGTATAAAGGTTGTAGGACCCGTAGCCTATATTATTTATGAGCACGAAAATATGACAGCAGAGAGATGGATAGTCCTACAATGGAACCGTACTCTCAGAAATTAACCAAGAAAAGTTCACTCTCGACTGAAACAGCGCTTGAGGGAACGCTAGTTCGAGTTTCATCGACGTAGAAACAGACCAGCGAACTGGCACTGGTGACCACGTAGGGATACGTGCCGCCTTCGATGTGCACAGTTGCTTTGAGTCGTTGCAGGCATGTGTGGCACGAGAACGGGGACCTAACCGCATCTGGTGATATCCGCCGTCTCCTTCTCAGTGCTCAGGACGAAGTTCTCCGTAGATGCAGAGAGGGAGGACGTGTCCTCATTCGAGGTACATCGCCCGAGTTGGAGTGAACACATACACAAGCTCCTACACAGCCCACGAAATGTCAGCATGACGCGATATAGGTCAAGCTGACGATATCGCCCAATCGCAATGTTCTTAGAAGCTGGCCCCTCCTCCCACCCTCAAAAATACGTTATCAACAGCGTCTACTCTAGAATCGGGAATCATAGAGTCGGACTGCTTCCCCCGTCGAACCCCTTGCCTGGCCATGACAGGAGGGCGAGTTTGTAGGGAGAGCTGACGATGGTGTGCAGGTATAAGCTGGCGAACACGATGAGATGAAATAGTGTTGAATATCAGATAGCCGCGTACAGTTCGTTGACATTCCCGCGCTGACGAGATGGGAGTGAGAGAGAGATGTAACTGCCATTTTGGGAACTGACCTTCAAGTGGATGTCCGCATACCCCATTGTATAATCTCTGGTAGGGCAATAGTCAGCACACTTGCAGGTAAAACCTGGGTTCGATCCCCAGTCAGAGGTTTCCATGCATAGGGACCTTTTTTTTCACGCCTGCATCAATTGGGTCTTGTCACTCCACCTTGATACGCTCCCTTGCACGATGAACCAAAGCCGCTCCTATGCACGCCATGCATGAAGGAAAACAGATACAATGCATCAACAAAGAAATAAAGTCCAGCATATTCCCGAATCGACCCTCTGCTCGTTGGCTTGGTACAGAGCGTAGCGTCATTCTTGGAGAAGTCATTCGCGGCGCTTCAGTAGTGGGCCACCGCCGTTGACGTGCGGAAGTATTGAAACGAGTCCACCATTCAGACACGCAACATTCGAACCAAGAACGTGCTATGTGTCGAAGCGCCAGGGTCCATAGAAAAGGCAGGTAAGAATATGAAGATTACCACCGTAGAAAACTTGAACGATGACTTTCCAGTTGCCTATCAAGAAATCAGCATCAACGGGAAGGCTATTGAGGGAAAATGACTCACCTCGCTAGTAGGAACGAGTCTGTGGGACTCGGAACCGTTGCGTCAGTCGTCCGCTACCAGACAGAGAGGTTACCGTCGACCTGACAAAGAAGAGCCATAGTGGTACGTCATTCTCTAGTACATTCCGTCGCAGTTTCACGATGACATGAAAGGGGGCCCGAGATTGACGCTAATCATCTTTCAGCTGATATCCTGTGCATGGATCACTGAGCTCTTGATATCGGGCACTGTCAGGCGGTTTCTGAGGATCAGATAAAGTATACTAGTGAGTTAAGCGTACTAACCAAAGGTCATTTCTGCCGCTTGCTTCACGAAATGCCAGCGACCAGACGTCCAAATCCCAATCTACGATGACAGCTCCGAATTCGGGACACGATGCTTGTGAGTTGTGGTCCGCGGCGCCGAGACGCGTACTTCGAGACAGGGCGATGAACAGAGAAGGTCAACTAAAAGACCGTAACCCATTAGTCTCATTCTAGAGCTAAGTAAAACGCGCACATGTCTTGACTCCGCCTTCTCCCTACACCCTGCGCTCTTATAGCACACCAGGCCTGTTTGATGCAGGCATGATTGGGTTCGACTCCCACCCAGAGCATGGCCAGATGTTGGATTTGCATGCTGCATTAAGTACTATTTTGGACCACAACACGGCAGCGCTCGGCCTGAGAGATGAGAAGGGAAACTACGACCCGCAGCGTTATCGATGCGTCGAGTCCACAGAATCAGAGTGCGTGTGTCTAGGAGTATTTCGGTCAGTCTAATACACCAAGCGGAGGACGATATACTCACATGGGGACCCTAGCAACTCCTTGAGGCGGACATCCAAATCCACGTTCTATGATGACAACTGGGCACACAGGATGGGCGAGAGCGCTCCGAAGCTGGGGAACCATACAGTGCATTGGTGTTCGATGTATGAACGTTGGTCCGCAGCACCGAGAGCTGGATTTCGAGTCGGATCTTCTCTTTGCATGCATGTGGAGACCGTGCTACTAAGATCTGTAAGTCTCATTCCAGAACTTGGTCAAATGCACGCACCTCTCATAAGCTCTGGTAGAGCAACGGCACCTAGGTACAACTCGGAGCAGGTTCGACTCCCACTCAGAGTATAACAGTATATGGATCACATTTTGCAGCACAACGCGAGGGAAGGCCGGAAAGCGCGCGTTTGGCCAGAATAGAGAGAAGATGGGACGATGGTGGAAATGCGTAGGTCCATGGGATAGAATCAGATGGTCCGGGTTCCTGGGTGCGTGTACGTCTGATGTCGCGATCAGTCGAATCCACCAAGCGGAGAAGGATAGCCTTACTCACATGGGAATGCTAATTCCCTCCGTATCTCGTTCACAGTAATAGCCCACTCAACTCACAGAACGAATTGTCAAAACCAACAGAGAAAAGACGGCAAACTAGCGTCGGCTGCATGTCAGCGATAGAGCGCGATAGGTATTAAATAATATTCAAGCTGTAAGATACAGATACTCAGAGTGCGCTCGAGGAATAGAGAGCATGTCTGAGGTGCGAGATACAGACTACGAGGTATATATGTGTCCGAGACATTGACAGTTTAAATGTAAGTAAGTAAAAAATAGAAAAGAAGACTTGAAGAAGACGGTGTAATTACTTAGTCCATGGGTATATACGGGTCCTAATACAGGGCGTAGTTGCCTCTCCAACACTGCAAGGAACAGTTTCTCGTCCCTGTCGGTGATGGCGAGCAGCTCCTCATCATGCATGATGCCGTGCTGCCAACGTCGACGAGACTCGAAATACGAACAAAACTTGGAACATGGATGATAGCGCAAACTGCTCCTTCCGTGCTTTCCAGCCAACATACATTGGCGCTCTTGAGGTTATCGGAAATTCATAGTGGGATCGGCAACACATCGTCTCTGGCGGCTGCCTAAGCTCTCCAATCGACAAAACAATAGATATGATACTAATATACAGTACGGGGGTGAGATAGTTGCTACTGCACATTTCTCGTGAGTGAGATTCCAGAGGGCCGACTCGAGCAAATTGATGGTGGTGGTACAAGCGAGACAACGACGACGGCACGATGACGACAACTTGAAGTCCTTGAGCTTAGTCAGCACCTTATGAGGCATCGTCCATTGGCAAAATCGGGCCGGTCGCGCTCATGGAACTGAAACGCGAGTGGTATCTCCTTTTTCAGGTGATAGGAGTTGCAATTAAAGTTTGGGTGTCTCTCTGATAGTATATCGGTTAGTACACGCGCCTGTCAAATGGTATCAAACCCCTTCGCGCGAAAGCTGGGTTCGACTCCCAGTCAGAGAGCTGGAAACATGGCTTCGAAATCTTTCTTTTTCGCTTTTAACAAATTTCCATGCTTTTTAAATTTTGTTTTTTAAAGATTGGAAATTCTTGAGCTCGAATCCACCGATCCTACAAGCAAGTCATTTTTGTTTCAAATCTCTAGAGTCAACTAATTATCCATTCAAGCAAATATTTTCAGTGGTTGAATGGCTTTGCTATGTGTTATACGGTCCTGGAGCTTGTATTTTGTCCAGGAGGAAAGAATCAAGATTTCTCATTATTGGTTGGACTAGAGAAAGTAATATACGGTGCTCTAGTAGCACTAGATCGACAATTTACAGCGACGTAGTCTGGGTTCGAATCCTGTGATGGAGGGTCCTGAGAGGGACGAGTGCTCACAATACCTCCAGGGGTTTAGCACTTGTACGAATACGAACTAAGTAGTATCATACTCCGACTCGAGCGTTTCGATTTGGGACTCGGAGTACTTTGATGATCAATGATGAATGCGATCTCACCAGATCAAAACGTCCGAGTCCGAGTCTGATACTACTTCATCTGGATCTCCATCATCCAGACAGAAATTAAGCCTCAGTCCCTCGTCTTCCAAACGTTTCAAGGCTTTCTCAGACTCTGTACTAAGAGCGTAGCTCCATCCTCGCCCCATCACCCATAGGTTGAGCTCTGTGAGATGTGGTATGTCGTGCGGTCGACGCACTCGTGAAGCTACCATGTCGACAAAGGCAGAATTGATGAAAGAGACGTGAGCATACCGGATGGTATGCAGGTAAACAGAAAACTTTTGCAGAAACGGGACCATGGAGTGCTGAAGAGACCCATCTACCACGCTGACCTCGCTCAAGTGTGTCACAAGAGACTGCATGATGGGGCCGTAATTGTCCGCGATGTCTGGTACCCATTCGTAGAATTCGATGGCGAATTCCTGCAATCTAGGCATGAGTCGTATGACGTTCACAAGGTTGTCGTTGAGGTCTGCATCGACGAGGCATAATCGCGTTAGGGAACATTGTGACTGCAGCAGCATCTGGTGGAGTGCGCCCAGCGCACCCACAGGGCATTTTATTATTGGTTCTTCCATGGCAAGATCGTACATGGTTGTGAGCGTGACTTGCTTCAGTGACGGTAATACCAGGCTGCGCAGAAAACTTGGCGAAGACGCCGAAAGTACTTCGACCGATGAAGTCATAACAGGACTCGGAGGGTCGCCGGGAACAGGATGTATGTTTGAGCTTTGAACACCATGGTCGTTGTACGAAAATGAAACGAGTTTTGGAGCTGATTTCACGACGTCGAGATATCTCAGGGTCAGCTGGTCTCCGGCAAATGGTCTTGCGTCCGAGAAAGATACAAGATTGGATGCAGGGAACGGTATGTTGGCCTCTCTGTGCATGCCTTTCAGATGCAGATTTTCAAGTTTGGGAGCAATCTCGAAGACGCGGACGTCTCCGGACGGTGGGTCGCGACAACAATCGAAGTACATGTCTCGAAGTAAATCGATCTTTCCGCAGATGAGGGAGAGTTGTGGGAGATAGGAAGGGTGGATCGTAATTTCGACGGCTCTCCAGCGTCTCGAATGAGCGAGCATGATATCGAAGCATTGCGTCATTAATTGGGAGCGGGAGACCGGGCCATAGCACGTAAAATTAAAATCGAGAGGGTGATTACAGGAGCGTTCAAGGACGACGCGGAGTATTTCCACTCCGTCGGCCTTCAGAGGCACCGCAGCCGCGTCCAAGATGTAGGAGATGGGAATTTCTATGGTCATGGAGGCCCATAGCTCCGGACAAAGTGTTTTAATAACATTTCTCCACGAGCTGCACACTTGGCCAAGATGCCACGGCCCCTCTCGGACAGTGAAGACGTTAAATCCGGCAAGACGTCTCCTCCCCGAGGATATACCTCTGTATTCGTTATCTTCCCACGAGCGACGTAGAATCTCCATCGTGATCTCCGAGGGAACACGGCGTATTGGAGATAGCGCTGTCTCGTAGTCGTTTTTGAATGACTGGAGACGCAAACTACGAGCCTCCAGCGAAACAACAGCATTACGAAGCAAATCAAGGTCGTTCTCTATGTCAGCAAGAGGGGTTTCCAGGCCCTCAAGAGACGCCTTCAGCTGAGTAGTTTGCAGCAGTGATGGTGCGACGTTGTCGTGCAGAAGGGAGGTGACGTCAGGTGGATGAACGAAAGCTGATATCCAGTCGTGTTTGGCCAATATTTCATCCAGAGTAAGACGGGAAGGCTCCATTAGAGACTGATATGACTAGGGAAAAGATCAGTCAATGAGTCCTAGGTGGTTTTAGGTAACATAGAAACGCACACAAGCACTCAGCACGTCTATGGAAATTCAATTATGATCTGATTGAAAGTTCGATAGTGAGCAGCTCAAGCACAAACTTGAAAAAGATGGACGACAAGACGACAGGTCCTTAGGAGGGGCACAAGACGAAGAGGTTGCGAAGAAAGAAATTTTTGTTCGGGTCTTCGGACGGGTCGAAGTTTAAAACGTAATAGGAATTTGGACGAGGGCCTTATTCCCACGGGAATGTATACCAGATACCACCATGTAAACAACCCTTAAAACAGCCGAGAACGACAAGAACAACAATATTGTGACATATCCGTTCGGACGACAGTAGAGAAATGGCACTCTTTCAAATAATGTTTGCTGAGGTAGAACACCCCTCAAGTCAAAAGCAGTCAATGGAGTTCATCCAAATTCAGGGTGGAACAGAAACCAGCCGACGAGGGGTACTCTGCATAGACGGAGAGTCGTCAGGAAAATCTACAATGCTAAAGAAAATAAGGCATACCTAAGGTATATGTCTAGCGTAATTCACTTGAAATCAACAACATTCCGAGCGGTTTTGACTTTCCTGAGAGCAGCGGCCGACCAACTCTCATTCGATTTAGGACGACTCGAATCCTTGGAAGTCTTCGCCAGGACCTTTGATGAAGAGACGGTGGTGGAAGAAGCAAGAGGCTCCACATCGTCGTCATCATGCTGAGAGTGATACATAAATCGTTGTCGATTGGTCGCAGCCACACCCTGACCCGTGTACGGTCGTAGCTCCTGGATGTCGTCTCGTTTAGGCAAGGTGCCGACTCGACAGCCAGAAGATATAAAGGTTTTACGAGGAAGAACACTGCTTTTACTGACGTTCCCTTGAGAGGGAGAGGATGCGCGGCTGGCATGGGAAGGAGAACAAATTTCTGGTCCTCGAACTCACCCAGACCGAGGGAAAAAGCATCTAAAAATAAGTATGTTTTTGTACATATTATATATATTTTAACCTCCCCCTCGCCCTACTATGGTATGAATATGTAAATGAAATGAATGGACGTTCATGGATACAGACAAGAACTTAACATGATAACGGAAGGAGAAAGAAAAGCAAATAGCACAAATTTGGAAGCATACGTACGAATAATATCTCTCTCGCATCCCCCTCGTTCAAAATTTAAAAAAAAACAAGACATATCATGCCCTTATCCTCCATCCGTCGCCTTTCCGGCTGACCTTGCCCACACCGCCGAAGCCCTCCCTTACGACGAGCCACAATCCCGTGCTGCAAACGACATCCTTGATCTCCTCGGCTGTAAACACAAGGCCTACGGGGGCTACGGGGAAAAAAATGAGACGCGACAGGAAAATGAAAGAGACCACGCTTACTGCCTTCACTAACAACCTTTCTCCCAGCACCGTCCCCCTCACCTTCGCCGAGACTGACCACTCTCCTCCGTACGATTCCAACCCGCTCAACCTCTACGTCTGGTAGCGGGTACGGCACTTTAAGCATCGCGACCACCTTTGGATGATGCGGTGTTGGCGAGAGCGTCCCGACCTTGAGCTTCACAGACTGCGCCTCAGTCACAGTGCGGGATGACTCAAGGGAATTCATGTTCGTCGACGTCGATGTTCTTGGTAATGCTGGACCAAGACGCTTCACCTTGACCGTACACATCCACGGCGTTTCCGAATCTTCCGGATCACTCTCCTCCCCATCGTCCTCCTCCGTTTTTGACCTTGAAGTTCCGTCTGCACTTGTTGCTGCGGAGCTAACACTCCCCACACTCGTTCGCTTTCTCCGGGCCGTGCTGGGCCTATTAAGATTCTTGGCCGACTTCTTCGATTTCGATTTCCCCCGTCTCCATTCAACGCGAACTTCGCTGCCTTCACCGAGTGCGGTCTGACTTGAACCTCGCAGCATGCCTGCGAGTACACTGCCCCCTTCACCCTTGAGCCACCGCCTCACGGTCCAAACGTACATCGCGGGTCCGCGACCATTAAAGACCCCTCTCGCAGCTGGCGGATAAGCCGAAGACGTGAATAAGGTGACGAGGGTGGGATAAGCCGCGGGGTTCGGTGTTGATATCGACAACAGAGGCTGGATACCAAGCGTAGCTGGAAGAAGGACTTCACGGGGAACATTAGCTGCCGTCAGTGCGACTGGTTCCTCTTCTGCCAGCGGCACATCGATGGATCTTCGCGGGAAGATGGGTGATGGCGAACGACGGGTAGAACTGGCAGACAGATTCCGGACATGCCGTGCTTGTGTAGGTGTCGTGTTTAGCGTGGGATTGAATGAGACCGGATCCTTGGAATTTCGTTTGAACATCCTCCCGAACAAGTTCTTACGAGCCTTGTCCTCGCTCGCAGCAGAGGGGGCATGTGAACCTGCGCTTGAAAGTGAAACAGCGCTCGAGGCAGGGCTGGGACCGGTGGGGGGCATCAATGCACCAGTCGACGAGCGCGACTCTTGTTGTTTCAGTTCCCGGATGTCGACTTTCGACGCTGCCCACACCTCGACGGGCTCCATCACAGCCAGATCAATCAGCTCCATTCCCCTTTTGGCGAATTTAGCGATTTTGGCGTCGGTCCCAGCGTCGACAATGATATTCGTCATGACGTTGTGGGCCTGCAAGTTGTAGAGTGGGATAATCATTCGCCTACCGCTTGCCGTGGATGAAACGGAGGCAAAAGATGAAGTCGAAGATAA